TGGAGACTATTTTGAGAAAACATCAGTCTCACTGTATCTTTTGTTGTATACTTTGGTGGCAGGTCTCTGAATTTATACGGAGTTTACCGGGATGTGAAGAACATGGGAAGGTGTTCAAAGATGAGGTGGGTGAATTTTATTTCAAAAAGACACAGAGTACAGATCTTGGTGAAAAGATTAATTTTATGTCATCATTAAAAACAGATATAAAGTAGTAGGATGAATTGCATGTTTAAAGTCAAACGCAAATAGATGAAAGGTTAGGTTGGTTTGCATGAAGTGGGAAGGAAGTAAGGTAAACTTTCTCAAAACAGAAAGAGACCTATCTGATACTTATCTAGTTTTATGTTACTTTAGTTCTGCAGGATGTTAATAAGTTAATAATAAAGAAGAAATTCTTTACTGTGAGGGTGGTGAGGCACAGGAACGGGTTGCCCAAGGAAGTTGTGAATGCTCCATCCCTGTCGGTGTTCAAGGCCAGGTTGGAAGAAGCCGTGGGTGGTATGGTTTAGTGTGAGGTGTCCCTGCCCGTGGCAGGGGGGTTGGAACTAGATGATCTTAAGGTCCTTTCCAACCCTAACTGTTCTACGATTCTATGTTGTGAATAGTTCAGGTGTTTATTCCAGCCAGACCACCTGAATGGGCAGAGTCTGATACTGTAGTATCCCAAGTCAGCCAGCCTTTCAACTGAAGAATAATTGGTACTCAGCACCTCCTGAGGAAAATGCATACAGATGGCCCTGCTAATCTCCTTCAAGAAATTTTCAGGCTGTGCTGTAAATCAGAATGACTCTTACAGTTGCATATCAAAGGATTGACAGGTGATTTCTGGGCATTTTGTTTGCACTTGCTTTGATGTTAGGCATTCTACAGCTGCAGCAGGTATGCAGGCCTAGATTGTCCCCTGTGTCATTTAGGGTGTTTCACCAATTAATTTAAGATCAATAAAAGCTGGCATATAGCTAATCAAGTCACATGGTGGGAAGTGCCAGAGAGACGGATAAATCCTAAACATTTTTATTCTCAGAGGTGTAAGAAAATACTTCCCGTCTTCAGGATTCAGCCTCTCATGCTTTGTCTGTGGGTAGTAGATTAAACTTCTACCAGTGAGACTAACTGGTATGGACTAGCTGGCATCAGTAGTTCTTTCAATAGGTAGAAGGTGCTGGTTCAAACTTCGCTGTGGAAATCAAGCCTTATCCTCCTTGTATTAATTGCTGTAAAAAGCTGGGCACTCCCACATTCACACACTTCTGGTTCAGAGCCCACCCAGTCTGGCTTTGTGCACAAAATGAGTAGTAACTAATTGTGGTAACTGCGTGATGCTGTTCTCACTTCAGTGCTCCTTGACTTACAGTGCTGGGATGTACCTAGCAGGCTTCCCTTTGCATCGTGCCTGATTCTGAAAGCTTGTCTTTCAGTCCTACAGAAACTTAGTTACACTGGTTTTATCTCAAATTAGTATCTAAGACTAAGCAGTGCTCCTGATTAGTATCTAAGACTAAGCAGTGCTCCTGATATAACCACTTATGATATCCTGCTTAGGTTACACTGAAAACTTACTATAGATACCTGAAGTGACCTGAAGTTGACACAAGATGTGCTGGCCCCATTGAAGCCCTTGGATGTGAGGGCCTTGTGGCTCTTCATGTTCAGATTTATCACTCCTGCCGACTGAGAAATTTGCTTACAGAGTATTCACTTGCAACATTTATTGAAATAGTAACGCTACAAAGCTGTAAATAAAAATACTCAGTGTTTTGACAAGCTGTGTTTGTGTCAAAGAAGCAGTTATACCTAGCCTGGCCCTTGTTTACATCTGGGACCAAATTTGTTTTATTTTGCTATTTAATTAACAGAAAGGGGTGGCCTGAAGGGGGTTCCAGTTCTGTAGCTGGGAGTGAAATCCAGAAGCTCTCTTACAAAGGCTTGCATAAAAGGAGTAGCTAAGATGTTAAAAAGCCTTAGTATGCTGCCGTACAGTTGAATTTATAATTTCATTTATCCATTTTGTCAGTAGCTCTTACTTTATACTGTCAGTATGAAAATAAGAGCAGGTTAGCTAAAATTTAGCCAAACAGTTGTTTTCAGGCAGAAAGATGATCATCATCCTGTTCTTTTAGCCTAGCTGATCTCTCTAAAAGGTTGAAATCAAAGCTATCCTGAAAGCATTTCAAAGTGTTTGTATTTAGCCATTCCTTTACGCTGTCTGAAATTAAAGAATTTTCATGTTTCCTGAAACATCTGTACTGCTGCACTGTCAGACCTATTGATAGCATTGTGTGTTTTTTCTTTTCCAGCAAATTGATGGAGAAGCGTTTCTGCTAATGACCCAATCAGACATAGTCAAAATAATGAGCATTAAACTGGGACCAGCCCTAAAAATCTTTAATTCCATTCTGATGTTCAAAGCTGCAGAGAAAAACTCACACAATGAACTTTGAAGAGAATGGAAATGTGTACGAGTCAGCTTTCTCCACTGGAGTTCATGTTTTATTCAAAGCACAAAGACTTGCTAGAACTATTGACTAAGGACTCTCAGAAAGGAAGAAACGTATGTTCAGCACTGGTGAACTGTTTATATTCTCCTGGAGCCAGTAAACATTTGAATCCTTCTGGGAACTGTTCAAGCTTTTGAGAAGGTACTGTTTAACAACCGAGTCAGCTAGTCTTATTTACCAAACTGATGGCGCTAGTTCTCCAATGACGGTTAGGATCCCTAAGTTTCTCTGGACATCAAGAAAACCTTCATGAATTATTTATGCTGTATTATATAAGGGAATGTTAATATTTTATAAGAATTCTTGAATTTACTTCATGTACCCATTTACTTTTCAGAAGCTTTTACTTCATACTATAAAATAAAACCTGAATAGCCAAAAGTTAGGCTACAGGTAGCCAGATGAGACTGTTATGGCTAATACCTATGTGCCATAATTTAAAAATGAAACACAGTGTTACATACGTGACACTTTATGCTACAGCATATAACTTTACAGATTATAAAAATGTCCGTTTGCTTGTAACAAAACAAACCTTGTTGAGGTTGAAATTATAATGCTTTTTTGATAACTGAATGTTTTTACTTTTGCACGATTACAAAAATGTTATGTGAGTTTTTCCACCAGCATCTTTAATGTATTTTACCAAAATATCAGTATAGAGAAGGCTGCAACTGAAAAATAAACTTTGACTTCATAGAAGACTTTTTGTTAATGCTGCACAATAGAGTCCCAGCCTTTCACATGGAAACTTACTACAGTCCTTCAGCCCATCAAGGAAAATACATGTATATTGAGGTAAGGACATTAGCAAAAAAGAAGATAGATTCATTCATGTATGCATGTGCCAGTCTCCAGTGTAGTTACCACAACAGTGGAGAAAACCAGGGTGCCAAAGGTAGGATGGCTACTCTGGCTTCATATTCAACATAAGTTTGTTTTCCCAATGGTGAAGAATTATTTCACCCACTACTTCCTAGTTGGAAAGTCTGATTATAAACAAATAAGGCATAGGGGGAAACATAAAGCGTGGAGGAAAAGGATGCTTAAACGCATATGGTGCATCAGCACATTCTAGGTGTAAAATGCATGCATTTTACTGGGTCATTAGCAGGCTGCAAATGCTGTCAGCAAGTACTTAGGTGAGGCAACCTTCCTTCTTGGAGGATTATTATAACGATTTGTCAGGGAAAGTTGTTGCACTTGGTATATATAAGATGTAAACCAGATGCACTTTAAATGGGAGAAAGCCTAGCTATGTGTATACTGAAGACTGTTCCAGAATACTACTTTTGCAAGAAAGAGAAGAGTTGGATCAGGATTTTTGGCAGCCCTCTTAGTGCTGTGGTGGGCAGTTGCTCAGCCTTTAGAGCTGAGAACAAACAGCATTTCCGTTGCACAGAGCTGGGAGAATTTTGCATCTTCCCACAGATTTTGCCTGGCTGTTCTTTGGCTGGAGTTCCTTAAGATTTCAAGAACACTCTGTGCCCTTTCCAGATCATGTAAGTGACTGGTACCTGCCATAATAGGAGGTAAAACAGGGTCAGTATGAAGTAAGTTGCATTGCTCTGTTAATTTCCTTCCATAGCATTGCATAATTAATGTTTTTTTACATTTTGTTCAATATTTGTACATTCAAATTGCACTCTTATTGTACTACATTACAAATAAAACCTGAACTGGAGCTGTCTGTTATATGTGTGTGTGCCCAGGATTTTCAGATGAGCCCAGCTGTACCCAAGTAATTCCTCACTGTAGCTCAATGTGGCCATGAGTTAAAAAAGGAACTTGTCTACTGCTGTCTGTCCTCCCCCTAAACGCTTAACTCCTAAGGCTAACAGGCCGTTTGTGGACCTGGACAAAGTCACTGGCAGCACCTGAAGTTGCCCATGCAGATCAGTCAAATGCCACATTCTTCTGTTTTCTTTTCTTCTGTCTTTCCATATAGTTTTATTTTCCTTCACCCTCAGTGTCTCTCATGTGAGCCAGCTCCGTAGCCTGCAGTGAGAACCAGTGAAGAGATTTGCTGCTTGACAGAGATTATTTGGAGGTGTTAGCAGCTCCTTGAATTTTTATATATTTACTTACAAAGTATTGTGGTTTAAGAAATGGGTTTGAGTTAGTACTGTTCACAAAATTTAGAATAAACCTCACTTAAACGGTACAGAGACCAACCTATTTATACAGCTATCACAACAGTGAGGACATGCATAATCCTTACTTTTGTATCCAATGCGATGAAGTAGCAGAGCGTAACCACCTCTCTTACAAAAACTATACCCAACAAATTTACTTACTTAGAAACTAAAACCACTCAGGACACCTACTGAATTTTTAAAACAGCTGTTGGTTTGTATGTTGTGTTGGAGGTAGCCCAGCTGTCACACAGGTAAAAGTTGTCCCCTAATTCCATGGAGCCACATGAAAAATACTAAGACTTCAGTAGGAGAGCCTGGCCATCAGATGCAATGAGCTCCCCTTATCCTGGAGGATCTCCCAGCATAGTCTCTGCATTGGAGTCACGGCTGCACAGCTGAGCTTTAACAAGACAGCTGTGGTCTTCCAGGCTGTGTGTTTGAGTGTTTAAAGAATGGTGGTGACCACAAACACTGCATTGCCCGCACAGGCATTTTTAGAACGGGTAGGAGGTTGATCTCTGGTAGAATGCAATGTTTTAATAAAAATCCATTTTGATTTCTAATTCCATGCAATGAGTTGTGTTTGGGCTGTTGCTACTGTCCATCACTAGGTGTTTGTCCAAAAGCCATGCACTGTCAGGCAGTAGTCCCTGGGATTTCCAGACATGCAGGAGTTAGGAGGAGTGTGTAAGGGAGAAAAGGAGGCTGTGGAAGAATAGAAGAGAGGGCCTCCGCTCTGTGGGGGCAGACATAGTCGCCATGTGGAGAAGGCCAATTTGTTCTGGGGAACAAATTCAGGAAAATGAGGCATTCTCTCCCTGGCGCCAAAGCTGTGGTTACAAACACACATGGCAGCATCCCAGGTAAGTCATTCTTGCTACTTTGAGAACTCATCTTAGAAACCTTATTTAGCAAATTCAGGAGCAATGTAAAAATAAAAAGGTGTTATGCATGGAGAGAATACTAGAAATTTATCTTCCTGCAAACTAAAAATCAGGCCCACCATTTTAAAATACAAAAATTATTATAGTAGGCTTTTAGTGATGATAGTATAATGAAATGATGGTAAAAAGGAAATCTTTAATTTGTGCCACTTCAAAACATTAACTGTATTAGCATCTGAAGCAGTGAAGTGCTCACATTCGCTCACAATGTGGTTTTTAACATTCTGAGGGTCAAAATATTATCTGAATTTGTCAAATGCTCCGTATGGAAAAATAATCCATGACACATGCAGTAGTCTAGAAAATTTTATTATCTCTAATGCCTCTAGAGTGCTCTAGAATTTCCATTTAAAGTAATGAAAATGCTTCGGTTTAAATTGTTGTAAAAAGCAGCTAGTACAACTTAAAAAAAAAAAAAAGGCATTATTAAACGTAACTGTTATAAATATACACACATTTTCACCAGAAAGAATGGCACTGATTTATCTTCACAACAGAGGGATTTATTTTGACAAAATAAATTTGTCAAATGCTTCTGAGGGGTGTTGTGTACACCATCAGATACTGGGATAGTTGGGTGCCTCCAGTTCTCTCTTTACCTGGGTGAACAGGGATGCTGGGCTCCTCACTTCAAAGACCAGGGACTCCAGGAAGTTCAGTGTCCTGTGGATTCTCTTTGGGCACGGGATATCAAACACATGAAATGCAGCCACCAGTGCTGCCAGGGCCATGGTGCAGTCATGGAGCTGGGCTAGCTCTTCTCTTTCTACATACAGCACAAACTCACATGAATTCACGTGGAAAGGATTTTTTACTTCCAATACTGGTGTCACTGCCTTTACCTAAATTAAAAAAAAGGAGATTTCAAATGATGCCACAGCATCGCTTTGGTGAACAGGTCAGAGAATTAACTAACACGAAACTTTTAAATTTAGCTAGTATTTCTATGGATATTTGCCATCTACCCGAAAGACAGACTGATGTCAACCTTTTCCAGGAACTAAGCTGAGCAACCAGAAGGCCAAGTGATGCACCCAGGCAACTGATACAAGGAAGAGAGGCCAAGCCTGCTATGCTCTGTCTCCTACCTCCTCATTCACAGCAGCAAACAGACTGGAATCATCTCCAAAGACATCTGGCAGGAGCAGACATGCAGCAGTCATTTTCATATCTGTCAAAGGCAAGGATTTCTACTAAATTACAAATGCAAACATTCTAGCACCTCAGTATGGCCCTGGAAAAGCAGATTGCAACCTACATGATAGTTAACAGCTCAGCAGTGGAACTGTTCAGTCCATTTTGAAGAGTAGCTTGTATCACAGTGAAGGTTTGGGCACCTCAGCTGGCAAAGGGTATTCAAATAATTCATGGCACTGCTACTCAGTATTACAATTAAATTTCTCTCACAATAAGTAAGTAGGCCTTTGGGTTGCTTCTGTTGGAGTCTGCAAGCTGAGTAGACCTCCTGCACCCCCCATCCGTGCCCACACTCTCCTCTCCCTAGTAAATCAGGCATTTCTGGGGAGTCCTGGTGCCAGAGGACTCCACCTTGAAGGCTGTGGTATGAGCTGGCACGGCAGGACCTCCTGGGACATGGTATGTGCTACCCTCTGGTTCAGCTGTTACTGACTCTAACATCTTTCTTGCAGGTCAGGCTTCAGGTGCCATGTGTTTCACTGAACCTGTCTTGTCAGGCATTTATTACCTAGGTGCCAGGTCAAGTTGTTTGTGATAGAAAAACAGGAAAGTAACTGCCTTAGGACTTTACTAAGATGTTGAGTTAAAACTTTGTATGTATAAGAAAAGGGGAAATTACTTACATCCATAACTTTCTAAGGCCAAAGGTATGAGTAGAAAGTCCATAAACGCTTTCTGGATTAGGCTGCCTGCTGACACTTTCTTATCTACCATGAGCTACTGAGTACTCATGGCTTTAAGCTTAAAGAAAGAAAACCCCAGTATTTTAACCTACTGTGCTGGCTTCTTTAAGAAATGGCCTGGTAATAAAAGGAGTGAAACTGCTAAAGGAAACACATGTATTCTTACTGTGTCACTTTTGATTTGACATCCTGGCATTATGCCTGTGTGATAGAAAATGACAGTCTGAGGAGCACTTCTCACAGAGCTAAGCTCAAGCATAGGCACTGGCAGCTGCAGTTTGGGAAGAATAACGATTTCGAGTAACTGCTTCAAAGGTTTTGCCCTTGCAGAACTGTGCTCCTCAGACTTCTCAGACTGAAAGAATTTGAGCGGCAGTGGGCGCTTACTCCCTCACAGCCAGGAAGTTGAACACTTTGAAGTTCCTGGACCTCTTTGCATGGCTGTGGTACCTGCTCACCAGAGGTACCAGTTTGTGCACTTATTCCCGCAACACGTCTGCAGACATGAGGCACTTGAAACACAGTGGTAATTACTAGTTTTATTTCACCGGGATGAAGAGTTCACCCATAGAAACAGTAACTCTCTTTCTAAAGGAAATGATCACTTCTTATGAGACTATTTCTAAAGCAGAAAATTAGTTTTCTGTGTGTATTTTTAGAAAATAATAAGCACTCCTTTGCAGATCCAGAAATACGTAACTGCTCATCTAGCTATACTTATCCTGCAGTCTTTCATTCAATTAAGAGATTCAATACCTGACTTAATTTTCCTAGTAATTCATTAGCTTTTATTCTTAATGCTTCCTCATCGCTGTGTATTTTTTCAGGCAAATGTGACATTTTTAATATGTTTTTGCAGTAAAATTTGAGCTAGTTTAGTTGCATAAGTAAGAACAATTAGCTACAACAAAACTCTGATATTCAGAGCATAGAAGATTTGTACTGACATTTCAGAATGTCTTGCTCTGTGTGACGCTTCAGATTTTCTTGCAGCATAACGTTAATTGGATTGTTCCTCACCGCATACAAAGATAATATGTTTTCTGAATAAATCTCCAAAATCTCAACTGTTTTCTTATAAATGTCCATGTGTGTGAGAAGCTGGAACTCCCTAAAGAGCTAAAAGAGAAACAAATATTTGGTATTATTGCAGTCCTGGGAGCTGAAAACAGCACAACATGCACACTTTGAAGACACAATAAAACTAGCTCAGTAAAAAAGTTTATAAATCAGAGGGGATGGTTTAATTTCTTTTCAAAGTAAGGAAGAAATACATCAAGTAACACCAAAATACTGCAAATAATGCACTGGTATTGTGTTTGGTATATTTAACACAGGACTGGTGAATCTTTCAAAGGGGTGTTGACAGCAAAAATGTGAATTAGGTTAAAGAGAACAATGTTGTATACTTCACTGGAAACATGCAGTAAAACATGTACCTATGGTTGTATCACATCTATAACACGAAATGCAACGTCATTATTAAAAATAACTATTACCTGATAAGGGCATCTTAAGAAAGGAAATAGTCTAAGAATGTCTTTTAAGGGTGCCTTATCACTGATCATCTTTCTCCGCATTTCAATTGTCACATTCATTCTGTTATCCACTTCTTTCCAGTTCCTCTGAGTTTTCAGATATTCTTGCTTAAGCCACTGAATGTGTACATCCATTGCACTGTCTTCAAGATAAACTGGTTCTTCCTATTAAGAAAGGAAGGAGAGAATTGTGACAAATCACAATTTTTATCTGATGTAGCTTGTGTGATTTGAGTGTAGTCATAGTGTAGACACCCTCAGCAGAAAGTACCTGTGGTATTATTTCAGTACCAGCTCTGTGGACTTGCCTTCATGTTCTGATAGTTAAATGAAGATCTGTTTTCATATAACACTATAGATATCAGCCAAGTCTCCCAAGCTTAAATTACATATTTAAGGATATTAGTGAAATTCCTAAGCCTGTGTCTGGTTTGTCTAATTGAAGAAATAGTATTTTCTTCTTACTCACACAGGTCCTAAAAGCAGGACAACAAACTTTCACATTTATGCGACTGAAGTATTTACCTCCAAGGAGACCAGCTGAACTCAGATAACTCTTAATGGAAAACATGACCAAGCAGTTTGACTGTTAGTGTATTGAGAAAGTTATTTTGTACTTGAAGATTGTTAACAGTGTTCTTCAAAATTACTATTATTGTCCATGCTTTAATTCCAAACCCAGTAATTTATAAGAACAGGAGTGGCTATCCAAAGGAGTAGTAAATCAGTGGCAGTAGCCTGGAGCTGTTAAGTTTCTATCAAAGGACGCAGCGAATTTGCTCGTTGACACAAGCTGAGGTGATGTACAGATACACTGTTAGTACAGCTACTGCTCCCAGGCTGCATTTACCCTGGCTTTTCCCGTATGTATTATCACTGATGCAGCTGTTGTCTCTGTCAGTGGTGGCCTGTGGGTCAATGTCAGTGGGAGATGAAACACTTCATCCTGTTCCCCAGACCATTTAAGACACAGAGCTACGAAACATACAACATCCAAAAGTGCTTCGCAGTGCTCTGTACGTGCAAATAAACTTTCCAGTTTAATTAACATCCTTTCTTAAATTGTGCATATGGCATTCCAAGAATGGTTGCACAACATACACAATTAAAATACCTGTCTCTCTCCCAGTATATATCTGTGGATTTCAATAACCATACGGGTCACAGAAGAAAATAAGCCTTACATACAAGACAGGTACCTACTGTGACCCTGCAGGTACTCCCTTGGCCTGCGCTAGGCTGCTGTATTAGCACAGTCTGCACTCTTTCTAATAGAGGACTTTAATCTGGATTGCATTACAAGGGTAATATTTGTTCATGACCAACTTGAGTAGGCATTCCTACCCTCCTCCTCACTGCACAGGAACAGAGGTGATGGGTCAGACAATTTAAGTCCCATACCCTCCTCTACCTGTCTGAGTGCTGGGAAAAAGAATTGTAGAATCATAGAACAGTTAGGGTTGGAAAGGACCTTAAGATCATCTAGTTCCAGCCCCCCTGCCTCACACTAAACCAGGTTGCCCATCTCTGTCCAACCTGGCCTCGAACACTGCTAGCAATGGAGCATTTACCACTTCTTTGGGCAGCCTGCTCCTGTGCCTCACCACCCTCACAGTAAAGAATTTCTTCCTTATATCTAACCTGAACTTTCCCTGTTTAAGTTTGAACCCATTACCCCTTGTCCTGTCACTACAGTCCCTAATGAAGAGTCCCTCCCCAGCATCCCTATAGGCCCCTTCAGATACTGGAAGGCTGCTATGAGGTCTCCATGCAGCCTTCTCTTCTCCAGGCTGAACAGCCCCAACTTTCTCAGCCTGTCTTCATATGGGAGGTGCTCCAGTCCCCTGATCATCCTCGTGGCCCTCCTCTGGACTTGTTCCAACAGTTCCATGTCCTTTTTATGTTGAGGACACCAGAACTGCACACAATACTCCAGGTGAGGTCTCACAAGAGCAGAGCAGAGGGGCAGGATCACCTCCTTCGACCTGCTGGTCACGCTGCTTTTGATGCAGCCCAGGATACAGTTGGCTTTCTGGGCTGCAAGCACACACTGAAGCCGGCTCATGTTCCTTTTCTCATCAACCAGCACCCCCAAGTCCTTCTCCACAGGGCTGCTCTGAATCTCTTCTCTGCCCAACCTGCAGCTGTGCCTGGGATTGCTCCAACCCAGGTGTAGGACCTTGCAGTTGTCATGGTTAAACCTCATGAGGTTGGCATCAGCCGACCTCACAAGTGTGTCAAGGTCCCTCTGGATGGCATTCCTTCCCTCCAGGGTATCAACCGAACCACACAGCTTGGTGTCATCGGCGAACTTGCTGAGGGCGCACTCAATCCCACTGTCCATGTCAGCAACGAAGATGTTGAACAAGACCGGTCCCAACACCGATCCCTGAGGGACACCACTCGTTACTGGTCTCCAGCCGGACACTGAGCCATTGACCACAACTCTTTGTGTGCGGCCATCCAGCCAGTTCTTTATCCACCGAGTGGTCCATCCATCAAATTGATGTCTCTCCAATTTAGAGACAAGGATGTCGTGTGGGACAGTGTCGAACGCTTTGCACAAGTCCAAGTAGATGACATCAACTGCTCTACCCCTGTCCATCAGTTCTGTAGCCCCATCATAGAAGGCCACCAAATTGGTCAGGCAGGATTTCCCCTTAGTGAAGCCATGCTGGCTGTCACCAAGCACCTTGTTGTTTTTTACGTGCTTTAGCATGGTTTCCAAAAGTGTCTGCTCCATGATATATAAAGTAAGGTTGTGTATGTAGTGGCATCTCCCCTGAGTTCTGTGAAGACTCCACTGAACGGGAGTTTGTGGACTCCCAAGGGTTATGGCTTTATATTTAATAGCCTTCAGTAGATTTTTTTTGTTCCATTATTTTTCCCAGACACTTTTCCAACTCTCATAAAATGGTACATCCTGCATTAAATTCAGTGGTTTAACTGTGCACTGTTGGAAAATATTTTATTTTTCTCTTGCTGCTTCTGCCTTCTAATTAATATTCCGGATTCAAAACCTATTCACCATCTTCTTGCCACTGTAGTATAGATATGTTATATTCTGTCCTCGGCCACCTCTTTTGCAGCCGAGACTGTCCTAAGCTGTCAAATCATTCCACATAGAAAACCCGGTCCAAACTTTCAATTATCCTTGTTACTATCTTTGCATATCCTGTAATTTCACTACAGCCCTTAGCTAGTTGAGATGTTGAAACACCACAGGTGCATCCAGTGGAATAACATGCTCCCTTTTGTTTCTTTCTTACATAATTCTGAGCATTCAATATACATTTTTGTACTGCTACTTAGCATTGTGCCAAGTTTTCTTTGGCATAATATAAAAATATCATTTGTGAATAGTAAGAATAAGCTCAGAGCCCATCACTGTAAATGTTGTTAGGACTGAGTTTTCTCTTCATGCCTTAGTTTTCATCTAACACTCAAATTTTATCTGTTGTTTTTTTGCCCTGTCACTCAGTAGCATGGGGTCCTTCTGCAGTTCTTCAGACAGTCTTTGGTTGTTACTACCCTCTTTAGCATCATCCAGTGTGGTCAGCCAACTATCCTCCTTTTCCCACACCATTTAGAAACATATTAAACTGCTTAAACGAAGCATTAATAATTTTTCTGCTGTAAAAAACAGCTATTTCTGCCTAGCCTTCTTTGTTCTAATTTATTCATGCAAGGACCTTCTTGCTTACCTTTTTGTTTATCCTTCAGATTATATCCTCTAAGAGTCTTTGAAAGGCAGGTGGTGAAAACTCCTCTGAAGTTAAAGTAAATTCTATCAGTTGGATTTCCTGTGTCCTCAGGGTTGTTGAATACTTCAAAGAATGAATGAATTTATGAAGAATTACTTCTTTTCACTGGAACTTTGTTGATTCCTTCCCAGTGTGTTCATCTCTTGGTTCTGCATTACAGTTCTTGCCAATTTGGCCAGTAAAGACAGTAGCTTTCTTGGTCAATATGGTCCCTACCAACTGTGAATACCATTCTAGTATTCACACATCTCCAAGTTGGCTGTTCATCTGTTCCTTAAACTGCTAACTTGCTCTAAGTTGGATGGACTGGCTCTTGCTTCAGTATGACCACTGCACAAAACCAAGGGCTGGCTTACTCCTGTCAGTCTCAAGATGCTCATGCTTTCTCACACATGTACACAGATGGTTGGGTTTTTTAATTACTGTTGTGTTTTTTACTCCAGGCAAAAGCTAGTTTGAAGTCTCTGACTCCAAAGAGCTGTTATTACTGCTCTGGGTCTGCTTCCAAGCCTCCTACCCATAGAGCAGGAGCTTCTTCAGGCACCTGCTGTGGCTCATTTCCAGAGGGGCCATCACCTTCAGCACCTCACTTACAGAGGCAGGAAAGCAAAACAAACTCAATCTGGTGTGCTGTAACCACAGACAAACCAACTGGGTTGCTTAGAAACAAACACTGAGAGCAAGTTATGACCTTTACTCCAGCTAATTTCTATCCCCCTTGTCAAGGCAAATACAGCTCAAGCTCGCAATATAGTCAGCTCTGTCTTTGAGAGCTAGTTTAGCTAGTGATATTATTGACTATCTAAATGAGACTATTTGACATTTTTGTAAGCATCAGTGGCAAGCTACCAATAGAAATACAGCAGTAGTATAAGGAAGAATTGCTGTCAAACTTATCTACTAGGAAAAAAATAATGTGATGGAAGGCCAGACTTCATTGTGTAAATCATCCATTACATACGAGTAACACAAGTAGAAATCGGCATTAGAATTGGTTTTCTTGCAATGTTCAGCCTGCTTAGAGCAATGACCATCTGTAACCTTTCCACCTTTTTAAGCTCCATTTGTAGGCTGAGGAAAGGTAGTTCTGAAGTGTAAGCTCTTTAACATAGCTTGTTTAAGCTAGTAGTCTGCGTACAGGTGTATATTTCCAGCCATAAAACGTATCTTAAAAATTCAGGCAAGTAATAGAACTGCAGAAATGTCCCAGATCCCTGGTAGCATTGTTTGGATATCAATTAATGACAGTTTTCTACTGGCCTTAGTAGGTATTGCTGTTTCAGAGATTACTTCTTGTTTATTAAAGTGCAGAGGAAACATAATAAGTTAACGTACTTTGAGGATGGGCAATGATGAGTATGATGTAAAATACTTGGGGTGTTGTAAAACAATGCTGCATGC